TTGTAAAAGTTGCGGTCAATCTAATTCTATCCTCTTCTTTTTTTTTTTTATTCTTTCTTATATTACACAAATATGTCGCCGGCAGCAAAAGAAAGAATTTCAAAAAACATAACAACAATAATAATAATAATTAGATTAATAAATGATAGTATAGACTAGTAGTTTGTAATAGGATCGATCTTTATGATGGAATGTCAACAAGGCAGCAGACACATACACGTTTTTTTTTCATGTGAACTGTAAAGAATTTATAATTGTCTATTGGATATTTCATTGGCTAGTTATGCTTACATACATGAGTGAATTAAGGAAACGAGTATGATCAATACCAAAATAGGATGATGTTGTGCAAGTCTTGCATAATACTTTACTTGATGATAATGCTATTTCTGTTCATATTATTATTATTATTATCATCATCATCCAGATGAAAAAAAAAAGAAGAAGAAGAAGAAGAATTGTTTATCTATGTTTGCAACGATCATCACTCGTTCTTCTTAGATAGTACATTCAGTATTATATTCAAGGTGATAAATAGTCATTGTCTTCAATCGTTTTACATCATATTATGTGCATAGATATTTAGAAAAGACTATACGTACATTATGCAAATTTTTTTCTTTTTCATGATTGAACATGAACATATGCATACCGAAAGAGAAGTAAAAAGAGCGCTTACGCATACATATGAGTAGCATACATGCACGTATGTTCATATGGTGGTTAAATGTCTAGTTGCTTTGCACTCTCTCTTTCTCTCCTTCTCTTTCTAATTGAATTGGTCACTATACTTCAATTTGCATAATGGAATAGATGTGTGATTATTGATTTTATATATACATGTGTATGAAGAAAAAAAAAAATCGGAATATGAATTTTCAAGATGAAATTATAATTTATCTTGATGAACTTCAAATATAAAGAATGATTATTTTTTTAATCATCTTTGATTGAAATTCTTTTGATAAAATCATTCTGATTAAATCTAATACTTATTTATTTTCTTTAGACCCCTGTGCAAGAGTTAATTGTAATCATGGACGATGTGAAATCGATCGTAACGTTGCTGTTTGTCGATGTTTTCAAGGTTATACAGGACATGATTGTCTTACATCAGCCGGTAAGAAAAATTTTCATACAAAATTTCAGTTAATATTCTTCTTTATTTTGTTTCCTATATTGTCCGGCTATAGTTTATTAGTAGTTCATAGCTTTAAAAAAAAAAAAAAACAACAACAAAATCTAAGAATGAGATTTAGCTATAATATTTTTATTTTTTTTCTTTATCTATCTATAAAGATGCATGTGCTCGTATTTCATGCAATCATGGTAATTGTATCAATGAAGGCACATCTTATAGATGTGAATGTCATCGAGGTTATGAAGGTACAGCATGTGATCGACAAATAGATCCATGCTCAAATTTTGTTTGTTACAATGGAGGTGTATGTCATATTCAACAGGATAATCAACCTATGTGTCGATGTACACAGGGTTATCGAGGACCGAATTGTTATGAATCTGATGGTATGTGTATATATGTATGCTTAACCGAACGTTTTTTGATGATGTGTCTGCTGTGTAATTTTATCACAGACAATATAAGCGCAAACACAAAAGATTAGAAAGAATCTTTTTCTTTTTTTTTTTTTGAAACAAAAAAATGCATGTTATCTTAAAACACAGTTTATTTATTTTATTTATTTATTTATTTATACATTTATTTATTGTTGTTTTCTTGAACACATTCATTATTTTACACAGACGTTTGTGACAATGTCAATTGTAATTATGGACAATGTTCTGTTAATCCAAACGATGGCACAGCCTATTGTGTTTGTTTACCAGAGTATACAGGTGTCATGTGTTTGGAAGAAATAAGAGTTGAAGTCCATAGTGAGTAGACAGTTGATGAGCAGCTCTATGATGGCAGTAAAAAGAATGAGCTTCTTCTTTATATAATGTTTCTTGTTTTTAATTTATACAATGCATTAATATTTATCAAATATAATAATTACAATACATAAGAATGTATTGTTTATTATTATTATTATTTAACAAAATGAAAGTTTTCTTTGTTTTTTTCGGCTTTGATGTTTTTTTTTTCTCTATTTATTGCATGACAATTTGGCTTGTATTTATTTAACGGGTTGTTCTAATTGAAAACCTTTTGATATGTTAACCTTCATATTAACTATGTTTTTATTTCGGCGTTTTTTTTTTTTGCTATTATAGTTGATCCATGTTTACGGTACGATTGCTCTGGTGGTACTTGTACGAATGATCGAGGCGTAGCTCGATGTATTTGTCCAATTGGACGTGTAGGAAGTCATTGTCAAGGTTGTATTTACATGAATTTTTTCAAAGAAGAAAAAAAAAACCTTATGTTTGTTTCCTTTTTTTTTTAAAGAGGATATATGTACGATGTATCCATGTGTGAATAGTGGACAATGTATTCCAGAAGGCAATAGTCGACGTTGTATTTGTTCACCACCATATTATGGTGATGATTGTCGAGAAGGTAAAAAGAAGAAAAAAAAATCATACTGATTTTGAAAAAAACTAAAATAAAAATTTGAAATTTATTTAGTTCATCGACCAAATCCATGTGATAATGTTCATTGTGTTTATGGATATTGTCGTGAAGGAATTTGTGAATGTCATTCAAGTTATACAGGACCACGATGTGATACACCACGTAAGAATTTTTATATTCAAAAACTAAAACAAGACTATTTCTTTTTTAAATTTTAGCTGATCTTTGTACTGGTATTAATTGTTATCATGGAACATGTTATGAAGGTCGTTGTTCATGTGCAGAAGGTTATACAGGATATTATTGTGACACGCCAAGTATGAGATAAAAAAAAAAAATTTTTTTAATGAATAAAAAAAAAAAACATTAATTTCTCCTTTGAATATTAGTTTCAACAGCTCCAGTAGTGCCTATCGTTGCAGCAGTAACAACTGTTCGTTTACCAGTAATAGCTCAACCCGGTGCTGTTATTGGTGCAAAGAAAGGTCAATTAATTGATTATGGTCGTGTATTAGGTGGTCGTGCTGGTCCAATTGGTTGGATATTAGCTATTGTTTCTGGTTTATTATTAATTCCACTTGCACTTGCATTTGCTGCACGTAAATGTACACAAGGTGCATGTTTACCAGGTGGTGCTCGAGCTGGTTATGTACCAGTATTAACAGGTACATCAGGTGTAACACAAACTGAAAATGGTAATGTTTTAATTTTAAGGAAATTTTTAATGATAATTTTGTTCTTTGTTTAGCACTTTATGCAGGTCCTGATAGTCGTGGAACACGTGATCTTCAATTAGTTGATCAACGTGGTGATAATTTAGCTGCAACATCTGGAGCTGCAGCTGCATCATCAGGTGGAACAGAAACAACACGTATTGAACAAACACGTGGTAAGTTATTCAAAAATAAAAATAAAAAAAAAAAAAAATTCACAAATTTCAATTGTAATACAATAAAAATAAAAGTAATGTTTGTCACATTACAGAAATTGTTAGAGAATATGGCGGTATGGATACTACTGGTGGTGTTTTTTCTAACTATCCAACAATGTCATCACGTTATGGTGATTTTGCACGTGATGGACATCATCAACAATCATCATCAGCTTATTCTCAACGTAGGAATATGCATGAATATGATTGTTGTTTTGTAACGTTTTTTTTTTTCTATTTAATTGCATGCTATTTTTCATTTTAAAATATAGACACAATACTAAATTTTGTTTCTATTTGACTTTTAGAACATGTTATTGAAACTGATTATCATGCACCACCTGTTGGTGATTTTGGTTATGGTCGTGGTGGTGTTGCTATGGATGGTTATCGTGATACATTTGACTCATGGGAAGCTGCAGGTGGTGGTGGTTATTCTATGAATGCAATGTTTGCTGATGGTGGTTTACAGACTGATTATGAATTAAGTAATATTAATTCAATTAGTATGACACCAAATGGAAAATATGCTATTGTTGGACAAAGTCAAGGACCACCACAAATATGGGATGCTGTTGTAAGAAAAATATTTTTAATTTTTATGTATTAATATAAGGAATTAACAAGTTGATTTAGAATAGAGATCTGCGGGCGGGAGGGGAATGTTAGTTAGTTCCGGAAATTTTTTTTTCTGTTATCAAGAATTTTACTATACATTTTCATATTTTGTTATTCTGTTCTGATTACAGATTAGGAAATTGATTTTTTGAAGTAATAATTAATTCAAAATCATTTATATAAGCATTCAAAGATGCATGATCGGAGTCTGAAAAAAATAAAATAACGTGAAAACCTAATTTTGAATATGACGAGTTTTCGTCATTGAATACAAAAAAAAAACTGGAGAACTTCAAAGTGCTAACCAAGCCCGATGGATTTTAATCTCTAATACTGATTCCTCTTCCTCATTCTTTTCATATTGAACCTCTTTAGTCTCAAGTTAATGCTTGTATACCACATACTCGAAAGAGAGTTTAATGACCTAAACCAATAAAACAATTATCAGATATAAAAAAAAAAAAAAAAAAAAGAAGAAGAGATAATCTAATTATGAAACATTCTGTCAATCAACTCATCTGTCGTGTTGCTCAATTACATTATAATAAAGTACTTAAGTAATTCTTGTAACTAATATTAGATCAAAGAGATTCTTTATAAAAAGAATAAAAAGATGGAGAAGTATTCGAAGAATCCAAAAAAAAATTTCCATAAAATATTTTTCTTTAGAATGGACAACTTGTTTCAAGTATGCAAGGAACAAGTATAAATTGTAGTAAAGTTGCATTAGCATGTAGTGGTACACTTTTAGTTGGTTTAGCAAGTGATGGTATTGATACACAACCATGTGTACTTCAAGTATGTATAAACATTTCAAAAATAGATTTTCATAAAAAAAAAAAAATTTTATTTTATTTTGTTTTTCTTTATATTATAGATTTGGGATGTTAATACTGGTAAACCAGTTCAATTAACACATCAAATAAAATGTGCAACATTTACATTAAGTAATAATTCAAATAATCTTATTATGGCTGGTAATCAAAAATATGGACGTGGTATATCTGTTGGTATACTTGATTTAAATAATTCAGAATTAACTAAAGAAATTAAATCTGATACAAATCAATCCTATGGTGGTACACCTTCATTTATAACATTAACACCTGATGAACGTTATGCTATTGTTGGTTGTCCATTAGGACCAACAACAACAAATTATGTTGTATTTGATTTAACAACACAACAAGAATTAGTACAACCACCAACAATAACATTAGAATCAGATCCAAAATGTACAATTGTTTTAAATAATGAACAAATATTAACTGGTACAAAAACAGGACAATTAGTACTTTGGGATATACCAACATGTCAACGTTTACATACATTAAATGATAGTGGACAAAATGCACATCGTGATCGTATAACAGATTTAAAATTATCACCTGATCGTACATGTTTAGTATCGACAAGTGCAGATGGTACAGGAAAAGTTTGGGATACAAATTCAAAAGAACTTATTGCAAAATTAATTGGACATAAACGAGAAGTAATAAAAACAAAAAAAATTATTTCTTAAAAAAAAACATAATTTTTGTTTTAGATTAATTGTTCATGTATATCAACAAATCAATTAGTTGCAACTGGTTCAAAAGATCACAATATATGTTTATGGCGTTTACAAACAGGACAATTAGCATCAACAATGCCAATTGGTATGACACCAATTGATATACATATGGCTGCACACAATCGAACAATAGTTGCCATTGGTGACAAAGATGGTGAAAGACAATTATTAATGCTTCGTGTTATATCTGTACAACGATAAATTTATTTCAAATATATAATCATATTTCCTCTTTTATTATTATTATTATTATTTGTGTATTGGTGCTGCTGCTATTCTTATTTAAGGAAAAAACAAACAAACAAAACTTTATACTCTTACCCACTATTTGCCATCATTGCTTCGAACAGTTGTTGTTTTTGTTTTCTTTTTTTTGTTTTAATGTCTTTTTGTTTGATTTTGTTCTTTATAGTCACAATTCGTGTATTGTCCTGCTCTATTAGCAATAATGTATAATAATAATAATATCCTTCGCGAGTTTCCTTCGTAAGAAAAAAAAATAACGAAACAATCTAGTTTCTATCCTTTATTCGTTCTTGGTTTATTAGGTAATTTGATTTCCTCTTTTATGTTTTCTTTTTTCTTTTTTTTTTTTTATTCAATGAAATTTCTTCTTTTCTTTTTTCCTCCTTCGTTTGTTTTTTTTTTTGTCTTATATATGTGAAATGTTGTTTTTTTTTATTTCTTTAAAAGTACTCGTCTATTTATTTTTTTTTTCTTTCTTTTTATTCATGTTCATCATCATCATCAACATCACTATATAGAATAGAATCTTAATGAATTTAATGTTGACATATCAGCGCAACTAAAGTACCTAATTATTAGAAAAAAATCAGCAATAAGTTCTTTGTTTGTTATCAAACACAAAAATAATTGCATTTATGTATTGGTTACATAAATGTTGAAAACGGGATTTTTTTCATTAAAATTATCTTAAATTGTGAATATTGAGAATTATATGATCATGATATCAATACTGCTTAGTAGTAACTTTTTAAAAAATTCTTAGTGCAATACTTGTCGGATTCAAATGTGAAATACAATGTAGTTACTATTGCTAATTATAGGGAAATTGTTTTATTCTGTATATATTTGAGATCACATTTCTTCATTATTATAACTATGACCTCATTTTTATTACAGCAAAAAACAAGGATTGTTACAATATAAATATGAATAGAATTTTTTTTTTTTTTATAAAAAATTGAATAGAAATTCTTGATATTTCGGCCATTGTCAAAAGTATGTTATTTATTAATTATGATATTATCCTTGTAACCAAACCATAACCAAATATCAATTAGTTAAAAAATACTATTTATATTTACATTATAACATTCCTCGTTTTTTGCTGTCATAAAAATAAGGTCATAGTTTCTTTCTTACAGTAGGTTATGTATTATAACAAAACATTATTGATGTATAGTCTATGATAGTCTTTGACTAGTGTCTGTGGGAAGGAAGGAAAGATTGTTTCTAATTAGTATAGTATGAAGCATAGCATTTCTATAGTCGGTTATTGACTAGACATACGTATCAAAAGTTAAAAAAATACGCAGATAGATGATCTTATACTATCTTGTTTACGTATTGGAAAAATCAAGAATGTTGTTTTAACAGTGTGGATTTGTAGGGATTCTTTTTCCACACGAAATTTTTATATTTGAAATTGATATCAATTATATTTCTTAAGCTCTTTATGTTATAAAGAGTAGGAGTATTTGGTACATTGTTCCAAATTTCATCCTCTGTCTGCATAGGGCTACGGTGAGCTTTTTACTCCTGCTATTCATACTGTAACAAAATGTATGCAACTTAATTGATATAATTTGTTTTCATTTCAAATATAAGAGTTTCGTACGGAAAAAAGATTCTCTACAGATCCACATTGTTAAAACAACTTTTATCTTCTTCAGTGCATGAATACAAATGTATCAGAATATATGATTAGTGTATACATAGGAGATGAGTAAAACAATTTTCCAACATGAAATTTCTATTCAAATAGAATATCTAATGCAATTTGTACTGCTCTTAATAATGGTATATTGAACAATAAAATTAGGTAAATATTATGAGAATTACGTAGAGTGGAAGTTGTTCTATTGAATTATGTATTATAAAGAAATTTTCAATCTAGAACAACCGTGCAACAGTTTGCAAAATATAAGTAGTTGGATACTTTTTGAAAAATGAAAAATGACATGTTGTAATTGTATCTTCCATACAAACTAAATAGATCAATGGATTGATCTGAAATCTTTTACTATTAGAGACTATAGGCTGTAATCTAACAAAAATCAGATGATTCTCTAAGATGAAATTATCTATTAGTTGAATAGTTTTGATGTCTCCTGTATATACTGCTCAGGTCAAATATAACGAATTGTGAACGGCCGTAAACGGTATAAAAAACATCTAATATTACGATAGCCGTTTACAATGGTCGTTTATGTACCACCAGAAAGAGCGGCCATTATGACTATCGTTTTTCGCCGTTATTGCACCTTATTGCGTGTTTTAATCAAAATCCCTTGTTTACGCGTTATACAACAGATGAAAGCACATAGATTATCGTTTCTTTCTGAAATCTACTAAGAAAATTGATTTATTTATCAAAACTGCAGCAATTACTATTTGAATATACAAGTTCTCATAAGATCTTGTACTATCATATAAGAAACTTTTAAACTCTTCAAAATTTCTCAGATTTCAATAGGTTCCCAATTTTACAAGATAAATATTGTCAACAACAAGTAGAACGGTAATTAATAGTTTAATAACTATAAATGACTTTTTTCATTCAGATCATTTCAATAAGTAATAAAATGGTAGGTTTAAATTTTATTAATATAAATGTTTTTTTAATTTAGATCACTTGAACAAGAAATAAAATGGTAAGTATAAATTTAATTACGACGTCGTATACGATCGTTCGCGATTATCGTAACTCGTCGTAAACGACACGACGAGATATGATTGTATTTCAGGAGTCCAGGAATAGAACGAAATACAATCGTAATATACACTGTAAACGCCAGATAACGACGTGTTTCAGACACGAAACGATCCTCATTTTTCGCCGTTTACGGCAGGAATTACGCCGTTTTATAGACGTTTCACGCCTTGTAAGATACCGTTTCCGACGGTCAGAATGATTGACCTTAGAAGTTAAGCCATTTTGAAAATAATCTTTTGATTTTATTTCTTAGACTTTTTAGTGAACAAAGACAGTGATTGTCTATGATAACAGCTAATTTTCAACGAAATAATAATCAATAAAAATTTATTAGATATATTATCTATACTGATCAGGTTCTTTGTTATAAACCCAATCCATTGTCTGTAAATTAGAAAGATAAGATTTATACATTGGTGCATATATTTAGAAATTACTTTTACAATATGTCGTTTTCTTAAAAACTTTAAAAATCGTTTGAATGTCCTCAATGCTCTTAGTTGATTCTTATAAATGACGTCGATACGATACTGACTATATGACTGCAAGTGCCATGTTCATCTTATCTTTTTTTTTCATGTATACGCACGTGCATGTATATAGGCTTCTGTTCAAAGATGAGAGAAGAAAAACACTAACAGTATTAAGATCTCTAAGAAAGAATTTGACCTATTTCTGGATGAGAAGAACAAAGGAAAAAGGTTCTCGTTGAATAAATGAAGTTCTAAAAAATTTGGTCTTCTTTTGTTCTGAAACCGAGTTTATTAATACTACAAAAAATAAAGAAGAGTCTATGAATTTATGTCTTTTTGTGTTTCTTTGTTGATGAGTAAATTGAAAATGATCTGCAGAAAATTCAATCATAGGCAAGAATACTATCAAAGAAAGTACAAGTGTCAACTGCACAACAACAATAACAACATCTTGAGATTAACAAAACAGAACACACGGCAATGACGTTAAGACAATTTTCGTTTTCATTTCGAGTCAATTATTTTTTAGGAAAAAAAGGATATATTGTGTTCTCATAATAAAAGCAATATCTATAAAGAAGTTTATATTTGTTGAGAATCAATGTGCAAGAATAGAAAGTTTTACAAAATCAAGGTGTCCATTGAAAAATAATGGAAGATTTAGAATATTGTTGTTATTAAATATGGTGATGACGTTTCTTAACAAGACCGTCATCTTCTATATGAATACATGTGGATTCGAGAAGACACGTAAAACTGGTTTTTTCCTTCTACATGGTCGATTAATTAAGAGCATCAGTGATGGTCAACATGAGAGAAAAAAAAACGTATTAATTTCGATTATTTTAGAAAAAAGTTTCATCGATGTTGTATTCAAATGAGGGCAAAATAGAAAAGAAATCGATCTTCTTCATGTCATTAAAATACCAACTCGACAACAGACTTAAATAGTATTTTTTTATTAGTGAATTAGATGAGAAATTCATTTGAAAATAAATATTCTTGCATAGCGATAATCAAGTGTGATTTGATGTGAGTCTATTTTCCTTGTTCAAAATAAGATTTTTATATTTAGATTTTGTCGGTTTTGTCAATTATAATTTCATCATCATCGTCAACATCTTCAACAAGATACAATCTTTTTTTCTCATTAGTTGTACATATGATATATGGAGAAGCCTATTTGAACATATGCAGGTGAAGTAAAAAAAAAAGACGAAAGAAAAAAAAACAATCGTTCAGAGAGAGATATAGACAAAACAAAAGATGTTAGCTATTTTTGCTGGAGATTTGGGCATACACCTCCAAAATAAATACAGATCCTTGTTTAGTTTTTACGCTCTTTCCAACGATGTAATTTTGATTGTGATGTCTGCACGAAAAACAATTTTTCGAGGGAGTTGATGTGAAGATAGATAGATAATTGAATAGATACCTATAGACAAAATTACAAAGAGTAATTTTCTTCCTTCTTCAGATGATGTTTGGAGTAAGTATCTTCATCCTCACTTTCTTTTTAGAGTGTACGAAAAGAATTTTCAAGTTTTTAGAATGATAATGTCCAAATGATGAATCCTTTTGACGAATTGATGCAAATGCAAATATAAAGTATAATAAACCCTTAAAGGATTTTCTGTTTTCATAAGCTCTGTCGTAAAACTTTTACAACGAGTACTTGAAGTTTGTCAGCACATGGGTGTGTGGGTTTGGGTGTGGATGTGGGTGTAAGTCTTCCCTTCACGCACACCAACATATTCACCCACACACCC